CGCCTGCGCTGTCAGGTCTGTTCGGGCTTTTTTTTTCAGTGAGCGGCGCGGGCCCCCATGGCAGCTACGCGCGCTCTTCGCGTAGGAAGGAGTGGGAGGGAGGGAGGGTGGGGGTGCGGGGGAGGGAGGGAGGGAGGGAGGGTAAGAGAAGTATGAGCCACTCACACGGTCGGGTAGTGTAAAGGAGAACCGATTACCTCAATTTCACCACAATCCCACTTCTTTGCCACCTCTAACAACTGTGTCGACGCCACATCACACAGCGCGAAACTCTTCACCCTAAAACGCTGCTTGTACAACACCCATTCTTTGCTCGATTCCCGGAGAGCCTTCCCAAGACCTGACAGAGTCGGCTTCCACGTCGCGTAAACTGTCTGGTGCTCCTTTGATAGCGATTCGCCAATTCGCGCAACAAGGGCAGGGATTTTCTGCGAAATCATGGCCTCATTCTTTTGGAGGTCGATAACGATATGGCAGTCTCCTCGGCTATTGGGCTCTCGATACACCGCCAGCAGGCTTTCGGGCTTGATTCGAGTTGTTTGGTACAAGTGGGGTGGGGTGAGCACCTCTGCCATTTATTTCACACGAAGAAAAAAATTCTACAGAAGGTAACCTCGAAAGGTAATTTCGAAATTCCATTTTTCAAAAAGGTAACCTGGTAACCAGGTAACCTCGGCAAAAATTTCTTCCACCAAAAAAAATTTTTTTCTCAGCCTCTGAAAAAAAATTTTTTGGTGGCCGAGTTTTCAGAGGTTACCTTGGTTACCAGGTTACTTTTTCATTTTTTATATATAAATACTAAGAAATACTAAGAAAAAAAGGTAACCTCAAGGTAACCTCGAGGCAACCTCGAGGCACATCGAGGTTACCTTTTTTTTACCGTGGGTAAATACCTTCCCAAGTCATGCCCACAGCCACCTGTGGTGCTGTGCAGGTAAGCTGTGGCAGCAGGCTCTCTGTAACCGCCTGCGCAGTGTCACACAGGGCCGTCGCTGCGGCCTGAAACTTAAACAAACTTAGAACAGCCGCGCCCTCCGCCTCGCGCCCCTCGCTGCCGCCGCCCTTCGCCTCGCCCTGCCGCCTCCGTCCGCGTCGCTGTCGCCGCCTGGCGTGGAGACCACGTCGCGGGCAATTGCATTCTGAAAAAAAAATACTTGCAAACTACGACATCAGGGTGGATTGCCTTGCGTAACCCGGCAGGCGGTGCACACCTTCAGCGGGCCGCGCAGGTACAATAGAAATGTTGGAGGTACCTCGGACATTACGTCGGGGTCGCTTGGAAGAGGGGGGGTCTTGCAGTGCCGTCGCCTCCTCTTCCCTCGCCTCCTCCTCCGCCTCCTCCCTCCCCCCGCCTGTGCCTCCGCCGTTATCGCAGCCATGTTCGAAAGTGACCGATTTCCCCTTATCCTTCCACAGGACGTTCCACTGAGTGCCGCGAGTTTGACGAAGCTGCGTCGTCCAGTCCGATCGTTTCCCCTCGTTCATCTTTTCTTCCTTGCAAAACGTTTGATACAACGGCCACAAACCGTCGCCCGTGGACGGATTGACGACCTGCACACGCTGCTTCTTCTTATCATAACGGGCAATGTTGCTGTGCTCCCCGTCAAGAACTGCTTGCACAACCCAATCTCTGAATAGTTCGAAGCGGTTCGCACAAGTCAGCGCAACCTCGGGCTGCGGTGGCCAGTCGCTCGGTTGGAAGACGAATTTTTCCGTACCGTCTGGCCACTTGTGTATGTGTTCAGGCGTCTCGATAATGAAATCCGCGATAGCCTTGTAGAAATCGTATGTGTGCTTGTCCTTGAGGCGATGCCAATCTCTCCACCACCTCGCAGCCCGCTTGCTCCGTTCTTGTTCTATAGGACAATGTTTTAGATGTTTCTGAACATCGTTGTATAGGTCGGTTGTCGCGCGAAATGAAGGGTATCGCCTCCCTTGTATGCGTACCATGTCGACATCTTCTCCTGATGCGATGAAGTTGTGATAGCTTGTAGTTTGTCCACACTTCCCCCACTTCACATCTACAGCGCCCGCGTTGTAATTTGTCACCCAACCATTCATCTGTACCTGGCTACTTTGCGACCCGACGTACTCCATTTTGAATTCATCCAGGACCACGAAGATGCTGTTATCGAGATACTGTCCATTTTTGGAGTTCGGATCGAACAATTTCTTAACCTCTGTGCCAGTTGCTGTGGTAGCGAGAGGTGCTTTGCCCTGCATCCCTATCTCCTGCTTGACAGCGTCTAACATTTCGCTCTTCCCACTTCCTTGCAGCCCCGAGAGCATCGGACAAACCTTCGTCTTCTGCCCAGGCCTCGTCAAATAAACTCGAAATAATTTGCGCAGGAATAATCCGTGCTCAGGACTCCCTCCCACGTTGTTACATAAGTGGGCGAACATTTCCTTTACAGTATTGGCAACGTCTGTCTGTACATGTGGCTTCGTCCAAGCTTCATGCGCCAACCCTGGGAAGAGATTGCGAGTCTTCTTCTTTATGTTTGGCAAATCTTCCGGGTGGACGTTGCCGTAGACGTAAATGGGAGGTGCGTGAGGCGGTGCCCAGATAATCCGAGAGAAGACAATATTCTTGATTCGCTTGTCAGTGAATAGGAAATCGGTAAAGAATCCTATCACCTTATGTTCACAGCGCCACTCACGGTATAACACTTGAACTTGCTGTTCCGTCAACGGGTTGCTCTCCTCGCCAGCTTTGTTGCTCCTACTGTACCAATCGATTCCAACTCGGAACAGTTCATGCCCACCAAAGATGTCCAGGTGCTGCACCACATCCTCGTACGTCGGGATTACATCAGGTTCGAACTCATCGTTTTCCTGAATCATTATTCGATCACAAATTTCGTCACCAAATAATTTGTCACAGAACGACTTGGAGGCCCAGGGCATGTTTATGTCATGTGTATGCGCTAATAGACGTTCGAGATTGGCTTGCAACGATGCTACGTCGTCGTCGTTGATCGGGGAAGGTGTGCCCTCATCATCAAGTCGTGTGGCGATGAGTGAGTCGAACTTGAACACGTTCACATGGATACCAACACTGGCGCAGTAGGACCGCGCCAGGCATAGAAACTCGTTCTCCCAATATTGGAGAATTTTGGAGACGTAAGATCCGCCCTCGTTACCCCTGTCTGTCCTACGAAGGTCCCAAGCCTGCTTGTAGACATCGACGGTTGGTGCCAATTGAATGAGCCAGGCTCGAATGTTTTTGACACATTGGTCAAATGCGGCAAGCTGTGGACAACTCTTCCCAGGTGCCCACTTGTACAGCTCTTTTCTGAAAATGGCAGCAAGGATAACTTGCTTAGGTTCGTTATCACGGGCATATTCGCCTTCACATTTCGCATAAAGTTTACCTTGCGATCACCCAGCATGTCACCTAAGGGTGAAATGTCGATGGGACAAGCATCGTGGAGCCCATTCGCACCCTTGGCAATCCAGTTCAGTATCCGAACCTGGCACGATGACATATCGATTTCGGTTGCAAAGGACCCCATCAATGGGCGAAGGAGGGCACCCCATGCCATTTGTAACGTCTTCACTTGACCATTCTCATTGTAACCATATTGTCTACCGAATTCATTCTTTGGTTTGTAGTGGCGTGGGGCATAGACAAAGCCACCAATTCGCTCAGGCTCCTGGCTTAGGAATTCGCGGCAGATACTTCGCATTGTCTGTGTTACATTTTGAATTAATTGTTTTTTGGCTTTGCCAAACGTCAGCGAAGAATCCTTAGCTATCAACTTAGCGATTTCCTTTTTGAGCTTCTCCTGGCAGTTACTCTCGATCAGTGCTTTGATGTCTTCTTGATTGAGAATGGCGCAGGCGCCAGGGAGGCTCGCAAATTCACGGACGTCTCCGATTTCGGAGCAGGAATTGGTCCATTTGTCTACGTCTTCCAAGTTTAGTGGGAGTACCATTTTATTGTTACAAAGAAAAAAATTACTGATGAAAAACTGACATTCAAACTTAAGTTTGTGAAACGGCCCTCCCTCCCTCTCTCCCCCCGCACCCCCCTCTCTCCCTCCCTCCCTCCCTCCCCCCACACCCCCCTCCCTCCCACCCACTCTTTCCTACGCGAAGAGAGCGCGTTTAGCCGCCCCGTGTTTAGCCGCTCTCTCCCAACCAGTCGACGCCGGCTCTCAGTGAGTGAATCTAAAGTTTTGCTTTGGTGGGCCCCAAGTAAACTTGTAGCGGCCTTGCTCGTCAAAGACGGTGCATCCTCGAGTAAATAGGTACTTGCCGTGCTCGTCATATATGTCCTTCCGTCCCTCTGTTTGAATGCACTTTCTCTCCTCTCGTTGTTTCTCTTCCTCCTTCCCCTTGTCACTCTTCTCTCCAGCCTGCTGCATCGCTGACGAACCAAACAAACTTACAAACTTAAGTTTGTCCAGTGTCGGAAATGGAGAAATCACCCTCCTCCCTGCAACACCCTCCCTCCCTCCCTCCCTCCCTCCCTCCCCCCGCACCCCCCCTCCCTCCCACCCACTCTTTCCTACGCGAAGAGAGCGCGTTTAGCCGCCCCGGGGCTGCCGTGGGCACGCAGGGGGCGCCGCTACGGGCCGCTGCGGCGCCCATTCTATTTCGAAGAATGCCATTCTGGAATATAGAATGTAGGTCTGAGACCGGGGGGCCCCTCTGCGCCGGGGAGGCGTTGTTGGAGGCTAGGACGCAAGCGTCCGTCGCCCTTTTCAAACTCGGGGCCCACTCCGCTACGCTCCGACCCGAATTTGGAGGGCCTAAAAGTTTAAGGTGTTGCTGCGCAAAAGGGGTCGGACACCGGGCGCAGCTCATGCTAAGAGCTAGAAGAGGAGATAGAGAGAACAACCACCCTGTCCCGTTATTGCGTACACCAACACCACAAAACGCTCTCTCTCTCCTGTCCTCACTCAGGGGGGTCACAACTACCAAGTCCCTCGACTAGCTGCCACAGGGCGCAGCTGCAGATAGCTGCCACAGGGCGCAGCTGGAGACGCTCCCCCTCAATCGGCATCCACCCCCACCCGCTCTAGCCCCACTCCTGCTGCCGAGAGACCTGATTCGAGGCAAGCGAGCCATTTCATCTTGGCCCGCTCCTGGAGCGCGGCTTTCTGCTTGGCGGCCACGAGCACGGCAGAGTTGGCGTCGTACTGCGCGTTGTTCCCGCTCATCGCCCATTCCTCCCGTGACGTGTGTCGGCCGCGATTCGATGTCGCCACCTTCATCGCCAACGAGGACTCCCCCGACTGCAGGGGGGCTCCGGCGCGGGGAGGGACTCCGCCTGCTGCGCTGGCCGACTGCGCCCTCCTCCTCCATGGGATCGATCCGATTCAGCACGCGGCGCCGCGGGCACGTCAGCGGCTTCCCCTCAAGTTGCGCGAAAGCACGGATTTGGCGGACGTTTTCAACTTTACGTCTTGGCACCAGCTGAAGGCTTGCATCCCACATCACGCAGTTTCTGCACGGTATTCGGATTTTGCTATTTGCTCGTGTGGGGGTATATTGCAGATTTGTCAATGGTACCGCGCAAGATATAAGGGTGTCCTAAGGGCTCGCGCGGTCATAATCGCCCGCGCTGGGAAGAGGACCGCCGCAAGCGGCGTGGCGTGGAGCGGTTGTTTGTGCATCCCTCCGGGGGCCCCTCTGCGCCGGGGAGGCGTTGTTGGAGGCTAGGACGCAAGCGTCCGTCGCCCTTTTCAAACTCGGGGCCCACTCCGCTACGCCTACGGCCTACGCTCCGACCCGAATTTGGAGGCCCTGAAAGTTTAAGGTGTTGCTGCGCAAAAGGGGTCGGACACAGGGCGCAGCTCATGCTAAGAGCTAGAAGAGGAGATAGAGAGAACAACCACCCTGTCCCGTTATTGCGTGCACCAACAGAACACCACAAAACCTGCTCCTCACTCAGAGGGGGGTCACAACTACCGAGTCCCTAGAGTCTTGTCGCCGTGAGGCACACCTGGCGCTGAGGCGAATCTAGGCACTCGCCTCGCGCTCGTGCTGCTGCGAGAGGATCTCGATCTCCTTGCGCAAGTCCTGCTCGCAGGCGTGGCGAGGCTGAGCATCGGGTGCTCTGGGGTAGATGAGCGTAGATGGTATTGTGGAGGAGAGTGAGAGGGAGAGGTGGGCGAGAAAGGTGGCGTGTGCGGGGAAGGAAGGAGAGCGCGAGAGGGGAAAGAGAAGCGGAGAGGAGAGGAGGGGCCAGGGCGCCTCCGTTTTGACCAGCCTCATCAGCGTCCGCCAGCGAGTGTTGATCTTGAGGTTGTTGATCCGTGAGTACCGCTCCTCCTGCGCCAGCCGCTTCTTGATCATCTCCTTCCGCATCGCCTCCATTGCTCGCCTTGCCTCCTCTTCGCGCAGCCGCTCGGCTTCGAGCCGCATCTGCCGCTCCTCGTCGCTCTCGTTTGACTTTCCCTTCTTGCCACCGCCCTTGCCACCCTTGGCTCCGCCCTTCATCGTCTTCTTGATCTTTGCCATGGCGACAGGGTCGGGCCGCTGGCGCCGGCGGTTTCACTTTGCGCCGTGGGTCGGCAGGAGTTTTTTTGGAGTGCATGGCCCGCCCTGATAGCGAGCTGCTAGATGTCGCTGTCGCTGTCGCTGCTGCTGCTGCTGTCATGGCAGCTCCCGCAACTGTCGTGACCTGGCGAGTACAGACCACGCCTGCTATTCACAGCACACGCTTTGGTGTGAAAAAGTGAGGTGTGGTCTGTCTGGTACCGTCGGGTCTCTATTTTAAGAGGAGGTTAACAGCAATAGATCCGGGGGGGACCGATTCGCGCTTGCCAAGGGACCAATTGCTGGCAAGCCTGCGCAGCCTGCGCTCCGGCCGGCAGAGGACTTGCGACCCGTGGCAGGGTGTGACGAGCGGAGGCAGCCCGCCGGTGTGGGCGAGCCAAAAAAAAGAGGCAGCCCGCTCAGCCCCAGGCGCCCCTCGAATCGGAGGGTGGTCTGCCGCCGCTGCGCGGTCGGCGCGCCGAGGGCGGGAGACATCAGCTTCGCGCCACAGGTGACCTTGGGGGGACCGATTCTCGGCAAGTTTGGCAGGGGGCGGGCAGCTGTGAACGTGTGAAGGATCGATTGCTGTACAACGAGGGACCGATTCCGTGCGGGCCGGGTATTTATGCCGCGTGAGGGCGGGATCTATTGCTGTTAACCTCCTCTTAAAAATAGAGACCCGATGGTACTCTCTTGGAAGGACGATCGGGGGGACAGGGGAACGGGGTGTGCACGTCGAGAATTCGTCTTGGCGTCGTTTTCTTTGTGCTGTGAGAGAGCTTGTCATGCCGACCTGTCTGGTATCCCCAGCCGACCCGCTGTGAACCTCGAGGGGCCTCGGTCTCGCGGAGCCCGCTGCTCGGAGTCGAACTCTGTTCACAGCCTTGCTTGTCTATTGAGAAGAAAATACGTCCTATGGCGCTGTGCGCTGGTCTGTGAGAGGTTGAGGTGCGAGCCCTGGAGGCCCTGGGGATGGGGGGAGACTACCCGCGGGCCTAGAAGGCCCGCGCGCAGGGCGGGGGGACATTGAGACCAGTCATGAATGAGTGCGCGACACGCATGTTGCGAGCAGCGTTGTTGATGTTTTGCGCATCGCCAGATCGCCAGTTCGCCACAGACAGACGGCGGCGCGCGAGAGCTGTTGCGAGTGGTGCTGGGCGAAGCCCCGGGCGCTGCCGTAGTCGGTGTGGTCGACGGCTTCACAGCCTTGTTATTGAGAAGAAAATACGTCCTATCTCCTATGGTGCGCAGTTCACAGCCTTACGCGCCTTAGAAGGCCCCTCGCGCAGGGGCACACACCGAGCAGGAGGAGGAGGAGATACTGCGGCAATTGTTGCAGACAGAATGCCGACGACGTTGGTGACAGGAGCCACAAGCGGCCTCGGCCTCGCCGCTGCTCACCACCTCGCAGCCAAGGGCCACCACGTGCTGGTGCATGGGCGCACGCCGGCCAAGGTGGACGCCGTTGTGCACGCGATCGCGGCCAAGGGCGGCCACGCCGACGGCTACGTTGCGGACCTCTCGAGCATGTCGGACGTGCGAAAGCTCGGCGATAACGTTGCGAAAGGCCACCCATCGCTGGACGGCCTGCTCAACAACGCCGGCTCATTCGATGGCGACTACACGGGCGAGCGAGTTGTGACGGCGGAGGGCAACGAGTACACTCTTGCCGTTAATGTGCTGGCGCCGTTTCTTCTGACGGCACTGCTGCTGCCTTCGCTGCGGGCCTCCGGTCGCGCGCGTGTCGTCATCAGCTCGTCGGTGAGCATGGGCGCTGCGGATGCGCTGGGTGCCAGCTCTGGAGCAGGAACAACGACCGCGGACTTTTCAGACCCTTCTCGGAAGCTTCCTGGTAGGCGACCTGCAGCTCAGGAGAGGCTACTCGGCGCACAGGGCCTACTCTCTCTCCAAACTGTGCGACGCGATGCTGGTGGCGGAACTGCACGCGCGGTACGGTGGCGAGGTAAGTTCGCGCACTGCAGCCCTCCCCCCCTGTGGGTAGTGGCTTCGCTCCGCTCGCCACCTCACGCTCCGCAGTCCAGCCATGGCCAGCACCCCGCGTCTCAGTGAGACGCGTGGTATCATCCAACTACGCCGCGACGTCCACAGGCAGTCGCCTTCAACACGATGGACCCGACATCGCAGGTTCGTGCGACAGGGGGAATGGGGAATCAGAGCACTGCGTGCACACACGCACGCACGTACACACGCACGCACGCACGCACGCACGCACGCACGCACGCACGCACGCACGCACACAGCTCCCCACTCCTCTCCGAGCCTCGCCACCTCTCACCCCCAGAACGCTCCGACACGCCTTTGCCTCGCACCTTGCCCTCGCAGGTCGGGCTCGGTGCCGACACCAAGATGCTTCGCGCGGGCTGGGGCAGCTGGGGCGGCTCGTGCGACGAAGCGACCATATCGAGCGAGATGATGGCGGACGAGGCGATATCGCTAGATCGGCTAGATCTCGGCTTCGCGCCCAGACTCGATAGAATCTCGGACCTTCCCTGTAGGCGTGGGCAGGCCGGTCGGGCGAGGGGTTTGCGACTCGGAAGGAGGTTCGTTTGCCGATCCGCCGCTAGGGAGAGGGGGGGGGTAGCGCTTCACATTCGGAAGCTGTGCACAGGTTGCCGACTCGCTGCTGCGGAGGAGGCTGTGGGACGAGTGCGTCAGACTCACTGGCGCGATCTACGAGTAGAGTTGCCCCGTAGCGCCGCCCCGCGCCCGTGTTCGAACTATCGAACAAACGACAACGGTTCCCTCCACAGTACGGGAACTTTGCAGTACACCCCACTCGCACTTGTGACGCCTTAGTGCCCCGCCACTTCGCGTTTCTCGGATCTCCAAAAGACAAACAGTCAAGGTGACGAGACGAATACTGACGTAATACTGGGACACTTGGGACACATCGGCGACACACATGCACATGCACAACAACATGTAACATGTACATGTGCATGTGCATGTCGCGTGTATCCCCGCCAGCTCCTCCACGCCATGCCGCGGATCTTTTTTGTGTGGTGTGTGAGGGATCCGAAATATAGGAAATTCCCCGATCTTCACTATTTCGCTTTTCGGAGATCTCCCTCACACAATCCCCCAATCCGTCCTCAGAGCTCACCCCCCCTGCTCACAACCCCGGTCGCCGGTGTGCGGTGAACCGACTCCGCACACCGCAGCGTCCAGCGACGAGCGGCAAGAGTCGATGTGTGGTCTGGAGAGACCCGGCCCCGGCGGGCCGCTGGGGCTGCGCGGGGCTCAGCTGCGGCTACCCGGCTCTGCGGCCGCGAGAGGGGCGGGGCGGGGGCGCTGTGAGAGAGCTGCCGCTCCGGACTCCGGACTGATGTTTTTCTTCTAAATTTCATTTTGATTTGTGTTCACTATCAGACTTCGGAGAGATAGTAGGAGTAGTAGGCAACCTTAATTACAAGATCTGACCCCTTCCACACCCCCAAGCCGCATGCGACTGGCGATAGGGGACGCGACGTGGCTTAAATCCACACAGGGACTGGGAGACGTCTGCGCAGCCACCCTTGCCCCGCACCGCCCTCGCCTCCGCCCTCATCCCCGCCGCCCTCGCAGCCGCCCTCCCCGCTCCCGCCCTCGCCCCCGCCCTCGCCCCCCCGCCACCCTCCTACCCTCCGCCCCTGCCGTCTCGCCACCGCCCTCGCCGCCCCCTCCCGCCCCGCCGCCGCCCTCGCCACCGCCCCCCTCCGGCATGCCGCCGTTCTCGTCCTCGCCTCCAGCCGCACCGCCGCCCTCGCCGCCGCCTTCGCCACCGCCGCCCTCGTCACCACCGTCTCCACCGCCGCCCTCGCCCCGCCGCCCTCGCTGCTCGCCCCCACCACCATCATCGCCGCCGTCGCCGCCACGGCCCTCACCCCCGCCCTCGCCCCCGCCGCCGTCTATGCCACCGCCCTCACCGCGGAACTCGCCGCCGCCCTTGACGCCGCCGCCCTATCAACCGCCGCCCCTGCCGCCACCCTCGCCGCCACCTCGCCGCCCCCTTCCACCCCGCCGCCGCCCTCGCCTCCGCCGCCGCCCGGCATACCGCCGCTCTCACCCTCGCCTCCGCCTGCCCCGCCACCCATCGCCACATCCGTCATACCGCCGCCGCCGCCCTTGTCACCGCCCTCACTGCCGCCGCCGCCGCCGCCCTCGCCCCCACGCCATCGTCTCCGCCCTCGCCGCCTCCACCCTCACCCCCGCCCTCGCCCCGCCGCCGTCGCAGCCCCCCTTACCTTTGACGCCGCCGCCCTTTCGCCCTCCGCTCCTGCCGCAGCCCTCGCCCAGCCACCCTTGCCCCACCGCCCTCGCCTCCGCCGCCGTCCGGCATGCCACCACTCCGGCTCTCGCCCTCGCCTCCAGCCGCCCCGCCGCCGTCGCCGCCGCCCTCGCTCCCACCGCCCTCACCGCCATCCACGACGCCGCCGCCCTCGCAGCCGCCCCCACCCCCGTCCTTGCCTCCGCCACCGTCTCCGCCGCCACTCTCGTCGCCGCCCTCTCGCTCCCACCGCGCCCCCCCCCTCCCCCCACAGCCCTCGCGCCCCTCTCCTCTCCGCGCCGTCACCGTCACCGTCACCGTCACCGTCACCGTCACCGTCACCGCCACCGTCACCGCCACCGCCACCGTCACCGTCTCACCGTCTCGCCTCTCCCCCTGCCCCTCTCCCCGCAGGCCGCTGCACGGCGCTCGCCAGCGGCGCCGCGACGCGAGCGCTTTCGCCCCCCCCCCCCCACCACCACCGCTAGGGCCGACGGACGCCCCGCGCCTGCGTCCACCCCCCGCCGCCGAGGCTCATGGCGGCGCCTCGAGAGAGCCGCCGCGCGGCGCGGTCGCCGGTCCGGCGCAGAGGGCCGGGCGCCGGTCTCCGGAGCCGGGGGGCCGCCCGTGGGGCGAGGAGGGCGGAGGGTCTCGGCGGGGCCCGCCCAGCGGTGGGAGGGGCCGCGGCGGGGGCGTCCCGGTCCCGTGCACCGAGGCGGGGCGGCGGGGTGTGGTGCGGCGAGGTCGGTGTGCCGTCCGCCGCGCCCCGGTCCCGGAGCCCGTCTCCCGGCTCCGCGGGGCCCAAGTCGATTCGTTTCGGGTGTGTTTGGCTTTGTTTGCAGTCGGTGTGCGCGTTTCCTAGTCAAAACGTCGCATTCGGTTCGCATTTGCATCCCCAGTCCCATTCCATTCGGCTTCGGGGCGAATCGGTATGACTGGGGCCGCAGTTTCCCCAGTGTGTCCGCGCCTCGGCTCGTAATGGTCTCACCCAATCAAAGCGGCGCCCTCCGGCGTACCACTTAGAGGAATACGCATTTCTGCGGCGAATACAAACGCGAGTACGCGCACCGGCGCGGACACACTGGGACTTGTCTGGCGGTGCTGCCCGCGCGGTCGGTACCGCCCTCTCGGCCACCCAAGCAGGTGGATAGGTGAGGAGACGCGCAGAACGGCGGCCGCGAGGCAGCCGGCGCGGTGCTCCCTCGGCGCGGTTCGCCGGAGCAGACTTTTGCTTACGGTTTGAGCCGCGGCCCGGTAGGTTGACTGAGCGGCTGGTGCGTGTGAGGCGGTGCTGGGCGGGGTTGGGTCGCCACTGCGCGATCCGGCCCCAGTCTCGGTTACGTAGACGCCTAGTCAGCACGTGCCTCCGCGGGGACTCACCCTCCCCCGACGCAAAAGCTCCCTCGCTGTGCCCCTCCGGACTGGATGGGGCCGCCTGGGTAGCGGCTGTGTGTGAGAAGCAGATGGTTTCCCGATGGGCAGACGCCTCGTGCGCCTCACCCCGCAGCGCGGCTGGCTCGCAGCTCGGAGGTTTCCTCTGGGCGCGGGTCGGCTGGCTGCACTGTCGGTGGCGGTGGCGCCTCGACTGGCCCCGCGTAACAAGGCCCTGGCAGGCTCAGCGGTGCAGCCCTCCCCTTTCGGAGCGGCTCCCGCCCTGCTGTGGAGCTGCGGCGTGTCGGTTGTGATGCGCTTCTAGCCACCGAGCGGTCGTGCGAATCCTTGAGTGGAGGCGCGATGCGCGGCGCCCCGCGAGGCCGCCCGTACTGGGCCGGCCCGCGGCTTGGCGCCGCGCGAGGGCTGCGGCTCTGACTAGAGCCGCGCTCCGTAACATGATTACGACACGTGTCCTTGGCTTTGTTGGCCTCGGAGTGAGCACTGTCGGTCAGGCTCTGGGCGGCCGCGCGCGGTGGTCTCTTGTCCCCTCCGGAGACGGAGGGCTCTGACTCGGACCGCGCGCGCTGGCCTGCCCCTGTCTGGTCCGGGACTTCGTTGCGGGAGGGGTCTGGTCTCCGACTGGGCTCCCTCCCGCGGGTTGTCTGCGGGCTACCTGGTTGATCCTGCCAGTAGTCATATGCTTGTCTCAAAGATTAAGCCATGCATGTCTAAGTATAAGCGACTATACTGTGAAACTGCGAA